TTGGCTCTTTTTGGGTGTTGTGTTGGGGTTGTGAAGTGTATTTTGTCCAGGGGATGAATGGAATAAAGGGAGGGTTTTATTTGTTTAATAAAAGGCTTAAAAGAAGGAAAATAACAACAAACAAAAGGTTTTATTTTACACACTTATTTTCTGCCAGGGCTAAAATAAGAGTAGGAAAAGCTTTATTTTGAAATGAATTAAATGGCAAGGAGTTTTGGATGTTTAGGGTTGGGTTGGACGGAGTGGGATTTGGTCTGCGGAAACCTTGGGTCCGAAGTTATTCAGGCCTCTCGGGTTGAAGGACCTGGAATTCTCACTAAAACGGATCATAATGTTTGAACGTAAGTCCTTTGGTTTTTGCGAGGGTGTAGGACATGGGGGAGGGTATGATAGGGCCAGGCCCGGGTATAACAACTTTTCTACTTAAAGCCAAAAATTTTATTATTTTCTTGAACACCTCTATTCACCCCCCCCCCCTCTAGAGGTGTGAAAGGCGTCTAACAATTGGTATCAGAGCCTGTTGTTTTCCATAGTTTTACCGCTGGAAACACGATCATGGCGGGAAGGCTATTTCAAGCAGGAATATCCCAGGGACAATCAACTACTCGTCCTCCACTTTTTGACGGAACAAACTATGCTTATTGGAAAGAAAGAATGAGGATATTTGTTCAATCAAACGACTACGACTCTTGGATGATGATCAAATACGGAGACACTACTCCATACAAAGTTGTTGATGGAATTCGAGTACCCAAATTGGAATCTGAATTCGATGATGGAGATAAAAAGAATGTGATGCAAAATTCTAAAGCCATCAACTATCTTTATTGTGCGGTCAATCCGGATGATTACAGAAAGATTTCACGATGCAAAACCGCAAGTGAAATGTGGACCAAGCTTGAGGTAACTTATGAAGGTACCTCGCAAGTGAAGGATGCTAAAGTTGATTTGCTACTTCATGAATATGAGTTATTCTCAATGAAAGCTAATGAAAGCATTGATAGTTATTTTGAGAGATTCTCAAATATTATCAATAATCTTGACACTCTCGGAAAGCACTACACTGATCATGATTTGGTTTGAAAAATCTTACGATGCATGACTCCCGAGTGGAAATCCGAAGTAAGAGCCATTAGTGAAGGAAGAGATTACAACACCTTGACATATGACACGCTAAGGGGAAAGCTACTCACCTATGAGACATCTACCCTTTATCCTCCGGTTGATAACAAGCAAAGGAAATCTATTGCATTAAAGTCTACCAAGGAGATTGAGGAAGTGAGCCATGATGAAGACTCAAGTGATACGGAAGAGAATCCCGAACTTGCTCTTGTTATCAAACGCTTCAACAAATTTGTCAAGAAAAATTTCAAGCCAAGAAAGGACAATTCCAAGAAGACCACACCACCCAAATGCTATGAATGTGGTGAAGTGGGACACATTAAGCCGTATTGTCCAAAATTGAAACAAGAGAAGGACAAGAATTTCCAGAAGAAGCAAAAAGCCTATATTTCATGGGACAATAGTGGTTCATCTTCCGAAGCAAGTAATGATGAAGAAGAAACGGCAAACTTATGTCTTATGGCACTTGAGGATGAGGCGTGCTTGAAGGCATCAAGTGTACTATGGTACCTTGATAGCGGATGCTCCAAGCACATGACCGGAGATGCATCCAAATTTGTTTTTCTAAAATCAATTGATGGTGGAAATGTCATATTTGGCGACAACAACAAAGGAAAGATCATTGGAACCGGAACTGTTGGCAAAAACAAAGCTTCCGGAATTGAAAATGTGTTGTTGGTCAAAGGCCTCAAGCATAATTTGCTTAGCATTAGTCAATTGTGTGATAAAGGTAACCGTGTTACTTTTACTTCTAATCACTGCATGGTCGAACGCCTTTGTGATAACAAGATTATCCTTACCGGCGATCGCATAGATAATATTTACATGATCAACCTTGAAAATACTTCAACGGACTTTGCTCATTGCCTCATTACTAAAGAGGAAGAGATGTGGCTATGGCATAAAAGAATTGGTCACACCAATATGGAACTAATTAATAAACTAGTTTCAAAAGACCTAGTAATTGGTGTTCCTAAACTCAAATTCGAAAAGGGAAT